AAAGAGTAGCCCCCGCTTGCTGCAACTAGAGAAAGCCCTTGAGCAGCAACGAAGACCCAGTGCAGCAAAAAATTAAAAAATAATTAATTAAAAAAAAAAAAAAAAAAGGAATCTCCCTTCCAATGTAGGGAACATGAGTTCGATCCCTGGTGGGGGAACTAAGATCCCACATGCCGCGGGGCAACTAAGCCCATGCGCCACAACTACTGAGCCCGTGTGCTTCAACTTGAGAGCCTGTGTGCCACAAAACTACAGAGCCCACATGATCTGGAGCCCACGCACCACAACTAGAGAGAGAAAACCCACACGTGAAAACTAGAGAGAAGCCCCGCGTGCCACAACGAAAGATCTCGCATACTGCAACAAAGATCCTGCATACCACAGCTAAGACCCACGCAGCCAAAAAAATAATAATAATAAAATTAATTAATTAATTTTTAAAAAAGAACCTGGCCTTTGCAGTTCAGTTGTTAGATTTTATCTTTCTCATCCTTAGGTCTAACTTCTATCAAGAGGTAAAATCAGGGCGCAGAAATATAAGAACATGATAGTGAATATTTTTCTATACTATTTTGAAGGGATTTGAAAGAACAGTCTGACATTTGAAATTTGAACACAATTCAGGGCTATTCCATGTAAAACATGGTTTGGGTTTTTTTTATTAGTAAACAAAATACATTTGTATGTATTTATGTATGATTTACTCGCATATACATTACTCCGTAAAATATATACATGCAAATCATTACAGTTTTTTAACCACAATTAGAGATTATTTTCTTTTTCTTAAATTATATTTAATTGAAGTGTAGTTGATTTACAATGTTGTGTTAATTACTGCTATACAACAAAGTGATTCAGTTATACATATATATATGTATATATAGATATATATACACACATTTTTAAAAATTTATTTATTTATGGCTGTGTTGGGTCTTCATTGCTGCGCACGGGCTTTCTCTAGTTGTGGTGAGTGGGGGCTACTCTTCGTTGCTATGCGTGGGCTTCTCACTGCGGTGGCCTCTCCTGTTGTGGAGCACAGGCTCTAGGCGGGTGGGCTTCAGTAGCTGCAGCACGTGGGCTCAGTAGTTGGAGCTCATGGGCTCAAGAGCGCAGGCTCAGTAGTTGTGGTGCACGGGCTTAGTTGCTCCGTGGCATGTGGGATCCTCCCGACAAGGGATCGAACCCATGTCCCCTGCACTGGCAGGTGGATTCCCAACCACTGTGCCACCAGGGAAGTCCCTACACACACATTCTTATATATTCTTTTCCATTATGGTTTATCATAGGATCCTGAATATAGTTCTCAGTGCTATACAGTAGGACCTTGTTGTTTATCCATTCTATATATAAAAGCTTACACCTGGGGCTTCCCTGGTGGTGCAGTGGTTAAGAATCCACCTGCCAATGCAGGGGACATGGGTTTGAGCCCTGGTCCGGGAAGATCCCATGTGCCGTGGAGCAACTAAGCCCGTGCGCCACAACTACGGAGCCTGCGCTCTAGAGCCCACGAACCACAGCTACTGAGCCTGCACGCTACAACTACTGAAGCCTGCGTGCCTAGAGCCCATGCTGCACAACAAGAGAAGCCACTGCAATGAGAAGCCCGTGCACTGCAATGAAGAGTAGCCCCCGCTCTCTGCAACTAAAGAAAGCCTGCGCACAGCAACGAAGACCCAATGCAGCCAAAAATAAATAAATTAATTAAATAAATTTTTTTTAAAAATGCTTGCATCTGCTAACCCCAACCTCTCACTCCACCCCTCCCCCAACTCCCTCCCCCTTGGCAACCACCAATCTGTTCTCTATGTCCGTGATTCTGTTTCTGTTTCATAGGAGACTATCATTTTCTTATTAACTAGTTCTCTAGTTAAAGTAAGGGCCAAGAGGGACTTCCCTGGTAGTCCAGTGGTTAAGACTCCGTGCTCCCAATGCAGGGGACCCGGGTTCGATTCCTGGTCGGGGAACTAAGATCCCACATACCACGACTAAGCCTGCATGCTGCAACTAGAGAGGTCCACACGCCACAACTAGAAAAGCCCATATGCCACAACGAAGACCCAGCACAGCCAAAATAAATAAATAAAAATTTTTAAAAATTATCTCTTAAAAAAATAAAAATAAAATAAAATAAGGGCCAAGAAGTTCAATTTACCCATTTACACTAATCTTTGGAAAACTCAACATGATGAATCTTTTCAAAAGCAATCTCCTAAAAGACCGAATTAGAAAACAGTTAAGTAAAGCACAGTTATTCTAAAATGGGGCTATGGGGAATTCCCTGGTGGTCCAGTGGTTAGGACTCTGTGCTTCCACTGCAGGGGACCCAGGTTCGATCCTTGGTGGGGGAACTAAGACCCCACAAGCCACCTGGTGAGGAAATAAATAAACAAACAAACAAATAAATAAATAAATAAAAATGGGGCTATGACTTGGGAACTGCTCTTCCCCCAGTCATTTAAACTGGTTCAGTAATTGTATTCAGCTACTAGAGAATTGGATAGTTGTTATGAATCCTGTATTAACTTTACATTTATTTGAATGCCTACTATGTGCCAGAGACTGCTGTATGCTTCATATGTATCATTTTACTTGTTTGTCATAGAAACTGTGGATGCAAGTCATAATATCACTTTGCATTAAAGAAAACTAAGGCTTATAGAGGAAGAAAAAAAGAGTTTTGCCCAAGATCATCAGGCAGATGAGTGATGGCACCTGGACTTGAGCTTCAAAGCCTTGCTTTTTTTGTTTGTTTGTTTGTTTTTTGTGGTACGCGGGCCTCTCACTGTTGTGGCGTCTCCCGTTGCGGAGCACAGGCTCCAGATGCGCAGGCTCAGCGGCCATGGCTCACGGGCCCAGCCGCTCCGCGGCATGTGGGATCTTCCCGGACCGGGGCACGAACCCATGTCCCCTGCATCGGCAGGCGGACTCTCAACCACTGTGCCACCAGGGAAGCCCCAAAGCCCTGCTTTTTAACCACTGTCACTGAAATCTTCCTCTTTATTGTTTAACTATACCAGGACCAAAGAAGCTGCTAACTGTTTAGTTAATTCTTGTCAGGAAGAGAAGGACAGCAAGAACTGTGGGGAAAAATCAACAAAAACAAAAATGAAAGTACTGAGGTATACTGGAAAAGGCCAGAAGACTTGGAAGGAGACTTGAGTTTGCACTTGGCTTGGTTACTTAGCTCATATATCACTTTCTTAGGAAAGCCTTTCCCTACTCCTTGTTTGTCTCTATTAGGACACTGAACTGATTGCAATGATTTTAAGGTGTACATCTTTTTCATTTTAACATTTCTAAAATCTGGACGCGTCTTATAATTGTTGGTGTCTTAAAATTAATTGACAGTGTTTCTCCTTAATTATTGGTACATAAAATAAGGATGTGATTTACCATTGATGGCATCTTAGATTTGATGAGTGCAATATTTGTTTACATGTGTTCCCATGAAAATGTTTACATCAGTCCCACAGTTTTTAAATAACAGGTATATACAGTGATTTTTCTGATTTCTGTTCTAATCCTCTTTTAAGCTCTAGCCCTGTATGTTGAATAAATTTTCCTTTGATTTCACAAGGATCACAGATTCAGTGTATCTACTTTCCAAATCAACATGTCTTCTAGTATATTCCCACATCTCAGTAAATGGTATCTACACCTGTAGAAGCTAAAAAGCTAGAAGTTCCACTGCCAGGGTTTGAATACCAGTTCCACCCTATACTAGTTCCGTGAGTACACAGTGAAGCGTGTCACCTTTATTCTTCATTTGTAAAATGGGAAGCATAATAACACCTACCTCTCAGGATTATTAAGATGGTAAAACATCGAGTAAATATTAGCTGCTGCTAGTCTTCAACATATATATTCGTGACCTTTCTCCTTCCTCTGTACATGTAATTCATCGTCAATCCTGTGATAAGTAGGCCTTTCACAATATCCCAGATCCATCCTCTTTTATCTGCTGCTTCTCCAGTCCAAGCGCCTGTTATAGCCTGTAATAACTAATCTGGTAGCTTCTCCTCTTTCCCATCTTTGATCCATTCAATACATAGACCAGTCAGAGCCATCTTTTAAATCAGATTATGCTACGTCTTAAAACCCCTCCCAATGCACTTGGTATAAAACCCCCGATCCTTAATATGGTGTGTATTGTTCTCACTTTTCTGCCTGGCCTCTGCCTACTCTTTCATCCTCATCTTATGCCACTCTGCCTCACGTTACTCATTTTTCCCAAAACTGACTCCCACTCATCCTTTTGATTTCAGCTGAAATGTCACTTTCTCAAAGACATTCCCTTATCTTCATAACTAAATTAGGTTCTTCAGTTCTAATATATAGTCTTTTATATTGAATTTACACCTTTCATAGTTGGTGGTGATCATTTCCTTCCCAACTGAAGGTAAATTATTTCCCCAAAGTCATAGAGCTAGTTATGGTAGGATTGGAATGCCAGCCTAGGACTGGCCAACTAAAGCTGTGCCATTTCCATGATCCTTCCTTTGCTTCCTTGAGAGCAGAAAAGAGCATATGAATCAATGTGCTAGCCTTTAAAAATATGGCCCAACTGCTCTCCTTTCTTTCCATTTAACCTTCATGTTGTTCCTTAAATATCCATCTCTCTGTGAGCCTTCACTCTCCCAAATTAGATTATAAACTGGTTGAAGTAGGATCTGTTTTTTATATATTATACACCTAGCATTTACATAAGTTACCCTGCATATAATAGATACTCAAAAATAGTTTGTCTTAGAGATGCTAAAGAAAAACAATTTTTTAATCCATTTAATTTTTTCAGGGTTTGGAGCTATCTCATGAAGGAATTTACTGCCTCATTCCATATTCTTCTACCCATCAGTGACAATATATTTTACGTGTCCATATTGTGAATAGAACTGCCTAAAATGATTTTTAAATGAGTAGTTTGTGTCTTCATGGATTATTATGCTTGTTTCACTGGAAAAGAATTAACCTTAAGTATTTTTGCTTTGTTTCAGGAATTGAGTGATCTACAGCGCGACCCACCTGCTCACTGTTCCGCTGGACCTGTGGGAGATGACTGTAAGCTTTGCTCTCTTGCTAGGATTTTGCTACCATTAATAATACAGGTTTGAACACTTGTTAATGACTCCAAAACTCCTTTGTTTGTTTCAGTGTTCCACTGGCAAGCAACTATTATGGGGCCTGTAAGTATGATTCATTTGTGTGAAATTAATCCCCTCAGCCATCCTTCATTCTTGGCATTTCACCTTTTATCAGATGTTTTTGGCTAGGGTTGAACTTTCTTGTACTCTGAATCTCTCAGAAAGCAAAATATGAGTAAAGGATTTATGATGATTTTCTAGAGCCCTGGTGGCAAATACTTGCTAGGAACACATTTACAACACTTTGCCAAATCCTTGATCATTATGCATAATAATGAATCACCCACAATTTGCAACCAGGCTGCGTGTTTATCTTTTTTTAAACACAGAAAGTCAGTTGTTCAGAACTAAGTGTAATTACTCTCACATCAACATTTTAGTAGGTTAGAAATAAGTCTAATTAACCCAATAATGGAATTCCTACAAGTAACAAGTATCAATTTGCAATAAGTTTCATCACTGTTCCTGTGTGTGAGAGGAACAGATAAAATATTGCAATGGCTCTATTGTTGCCACATCATGAATTTGCCTCTTTTGTTGCATTGTCCTGAACTCAGAATTACCTGCTATTCTATGACTGGCTTCTCTTCATACTTATTACCTTTGTTAAGATTATTTCTTTCTACACCTGAGAAGCAGTTATGACTTTTCTTTCTGTGGGCAAAAATCTGATTGCATAAGAATGGGCACTGATAGCTCAAATCTACTTTCTGAGTAAAGACTGCATTAGTAACATGTTTCCGTTGACATCATTCTCTCCTCCCTCCCTTGAAAGATCTTTATCTAGTAAGCCATAGTGTTGTTTTTTGTTTTGTTTTGTTTTTTGCGGTACGCGGGCCTCTCACTGTTGTGGCCTCTCCCATTGCGGAGCACAGGCTCCAGACGCGCAGGCTCAGCAGCCATGGCTCACGGGCCCAGCCGCTCCGCGGCATGTGGGATCTTCCCGGACCAGGGCACGAACCCGTGTCCCCTGCATCAGCAGGTGGACTCTCAACCACTGTACCACCAGGGAAGCCCAGCCATAGTGTTTTTAATCATATGGCCTCATGCTTAGCTTTTAAAAAATAAAACAGTTATTGAATTTTCAGAGCAGGAGTCCTGAGTAAGTGTCTTAAATTACTAAATTGTTTTATTAAGTTAGTTTTTTAAAGGGTGAAGTGCAACATATTTATTTAACAACTTTTAATAAGAATCTAGTTATTTGATTTTCATTGCTTACCAAGAACCTTCAAAATAATATCGAGTCTTACCCTTACCATTTGAATTATAGCCCATCACAAATATTTCTCAGGTGAATCACATGTAGCAAATGGTTACAATTATGTTATTCATACCCTCTTTATTGTAGTAATGTAAATATGCCACTCAATAATATAATTTGAACATCTAAGAAGACCATATCTGTTGATTGTAATTAACTTACATTTTCTACATTCCTTATAATTTTTGATGAACTGGAATTAAACTATGTGTATAGTAAGAATAATTATACGGTACAGTCCTCTAATGTATATGTAGAAACTTAAGGAGGAAGTAATGATAGCCTTGCTATTATTACCAAAATGTTAATATACATGATACTTTTAATTAAATATAAATGAATTAAAATAGAATTTCAGGTATTTTTGCTACTTTTTTCCCCCTTTTCCTTTTTTTTAATCATCCTTTTTTTTTTCTTGCTTGTAACATTATAAGTATTTCCTAATTGCTATAAAGAGATATGGCCAAACTTAAATTCCTCTTGTAAAGTTCATTCCTAATTAGATAATTCTATGAAACTGAATTTATCTAGTTTTGTTTGGGGCTTTTTTGCATTTCCCACGTTGTTTTGTAAACTGCTACTAAGTGAAGATTTGAGGTCTAAATTATGTAACAGTGTCACTTAGCCTTTTCTTTTCATAAGTTGGTCCTTTCAGTTCATCTCTATTCTTGCCCCTTAAAGGATCGTGAGAACTTAAGTTTTATAATTAAGAAGAAAAACACTAGCCTCAACCCTTTTCTTTTATACTGATTACTGCTACAGAAAATTATTCTTTTCTCACAGCAGTCTTGTGTGTTTACTGTTTACTGATCTTTAACAGTCTATACTCATGAACAGATTTGTTTGGGCAAGTCACACCACTCCACTGTGTGTGTCCTATTTTTGTTTTGTTTTAAACTATGATGTTGGCATGATTGTTGGAAAGTCCTCCTTCATGCCTGCAAAGAGAAACCTGTTTTTAAGGTAAATGATTTGAACTTATGACAAAATGATGGTATTTTTTTCAAACTGGTATATTTGGAGGGAATCATCTTGGGTTACTAATAATAAATATAGTAATCAAAACACTGATGTGATGATTTTGTAATTTCAGCCTGATAGCGCATATCAAGGTGGAGTCTTCTTTCTCACTGTACATTTTCCGACAGACTATCCTTTTAAACCACCAAAGGTATTTTTATTTTTATGATTGACGTGACTCCTGTGTCAGGGGTTTTACTCTCTATCCAGAGATATTTTCATGAAAAGACTGTGGGTAGGTTAGCATGTTCAAACTGTTCGGTAAAATCAATGAATCTAAAATGCTTTCTTACTCAAATATTGTATTATGTCTGTAAACAGAAGGCAGTATCTGTTAGGCTAGAAATTAGCTTCCCTACCTGTCTTTCCCTCTGCATTAGATATGTGTAGTTTGGGAAGTTTTTATGGTCAAGAGTTAGACTCTTCCATTCAGGGGATTATCTTTCCTAGGTTGACCCTTCTTTCTCAGTTTTTAAGTATTCAACAAACATTTATTGAGCACCTACCATGTTCTGTTGCATTGGGGAATACAAAAGTAAAAAGACATAGTCCTTTTGTTTAGTGTAGGAAAGATTAAAACACATTCTTATTAAATTTAGCTTAAATCTAAAGAGGAAGCCAACAAATGATGGGGGTGTCAATGAGGGAGAAAATCATTAACAAATTCTGTCACTGAGGAAATATTTACTTTAGATTTTTAAAAACACCTAATTAACATTACATATGAAACGATGTAACAACTCTCATGGAAGATTAGAATTCTTGGTGGATTTGTTAGGGCAGGTAATAAGCTGGGGCCCCTCAACTTTCCTCTGGAGTAAGGTCAGCAGCCTATTTCTAGATCCAGGTATCAATTGATAATCAAATTAAGAAAAGGATTGCTTTGAGGGTTGATGAAAGCCATGGTTAATTACTTCAGGTGCTACTCAACCAGTCATATCACCTATTATATTATATTATTTATCACACTTTCCAAAATACTCCTCAATTCCTTGGGGTTGGGGAGAGCAGAAAACTGACTTTGCTTTCACATTATCAGTAGCTAAAGCCACGTGCACATAAAGTAGATGCTCATCCAATTTGTGTTGAATACATCTCTCCTCTAAGATCACATAAAATTGAGGACATTTTACCCTAGAGCAAATTGGTTCTGTTTGCTTTCATAGTTCATGGATTGTCACAGTTTTGTTTTGTTTTGTTTTATGTTTAGATTGCTTTCACAACAAAAATTTACCATCCAAACATAAACAGTAATGGAAGTATTTGTCTTGATATCCTGAGGTCACAATGGTCACCAGCTCTGACTGTATCAAAAGGTAATTTCATTTATCAGATTTACAACAGTTGATAACAGTGAGACAGGAAAAATACAGCAGAAATATCTTAGGGACCAAAGTTTAAAAAAACCAATCTATTGTGTTTTCTTCTGCTTTGCTTTTGCTTTGCTTTCGTAGCTTTTATATTACTCTTGCTTGGGGGGGTTGATGGACAGATCTAAATGATGAAATGAGAGAAATTTAAAATGTTAGAACTAGGAATTTGGGGATAAGACTGTTGACATTTCACCCCTTTAGTTTGGGCTTTATCTTTAAAAAGAAAGAGACAGGGACAGAGAGAGAGACACAGAAGTAAAAATAAGATTTTAGGACCAGATGTCCCATTCATTAAATGGAATTATTTGTTGACATGATGAGTAAAGCTTTACATCTCCTTTACTTCATCTCAGAGGAAATGTCAGATTGGCAGATAAAGTAAATTATTTAAAATGAAAGACAGGAATTCCCTGAAAGTCCAGTAATTAGGACTCCACGCTTTCCCTGCCGAGGGCCCAGCTTCAATCCCTTGTCGGGGAACTAAGATCCCACAAGCTGCATGGTGTGGCCAAAAAAAGGAAAGACATATTTCACACTTTAGAGTAATGTAGTATATATAGCATGTTAGTCTAAACTTCAAATAGTAGCATCATTGTAAGGACTGATACATAATCCACGCAGATTCTCAACTTTCACAGTTGCATAGCATTATTCTTTGCTAAATTATGAGATGTGTATATAGGGCATCTGAAGCCGTTTGTTTCATTAGCTAATGTTATTTGCTTTGCCAGCCTCTTAATTTTGTCTTGTTTCTCTAACAGAAAAGAGCCTGAGTTATTGTTTTGAGTTAGAACCATCTACCCCTGAAAGTAACTTGGTAGTTTTCCCTTTTTATAAAATTTAAGAAAACTGTTTCTTTTGAAGGATTTGGGGGAGGAATCCATGGTCATTAAAAAAAATTTTTTTAATAAATGCTACCTGAATATATAGCTTGTTTTAAAAATTGATAAGGTTTAGAGGAAGCAGTGTCCATAGCCATGATTATTTCAAGTATTAGATAAGTAACAGCCCTTCAGATCGGTTAGTTATTCATGAATGGCAATTTTTCTGATCTAACATATCCCTGTAAAATGTTCATGTAGATTCTAGTGTTCTTTTAAAAACCTTTCACATACTATAACTGTTACACACTAGATATAGGAAAGATATTGTGTCATAGGGTTTTTCAAATTAATATTCTGTTTCCTGGAATAGGATCACAAAATGAAATTCATTTAGCATATGCAGCTAAATACTTAGAGAGCGCAGACTGCCAGATGTTGAATACTTACCTTCTGCCATTGGTTGCTTTTTATAAAAAATAGTTTTGTTAGCTTCTAGAAACTGTCCTTTAAGAACAGTTTCAAACAGCCTCAGTTTCCTTATATGTCAAATGGGGATTATAATAGTATTACCACATATGGTTACTATGCAACTAGCACATAGTAAGCATTCAAATGAATGTTATATATTGTTATCATTTTCCTTATCTGAAAACATTTGATTTGTGTGCATAATAGTGAAATCAGGGCACAGGGCTCTTGGCAGCAGGAGTGGGGAGATGAGGAACTTCCCTCTTGCCTATTTTATAAAGTAGCTTATATTTTCTTTATTTGTACATTTTTCACTTTTTAATATTTTAAATGTCTTATTTCGCTTTTTATCATGAGTTTAGTTTGGAAACTTTCTGGAGGTGTGAGCCCAGGTAGCTTACCCAGTTGGTTTAATATACAGGCTTGAAATTCCATTGGGCAGATGAAAGATTAAAAAGATGAATGAAATATTAGTTTTTGTTAGCCCGTAGCACCCCCTTTCCAAGTCATTAAAAATCAACTCTGGGGCTTCCCTGGTGGCGCAGTGGTTGAGAATCTGCCTGGACACGGGTTCGAGCCCTGGTCTGGGAGGATCCCACATGCCGCGGAGCAACTAGGCCCGTGAGCCACAACTACTGAGCCTGCGCGTCTGGAGCCTGTGCTCCGCAACAAGAGAGGCCGCGATAGTGAGAGGCCCGCGCACCGCGATGACAAGTGGCCCCCGCTTGCCACAACTAGAGAAAGTCCTCGCACAGAAACGAAAGCCCAACACAGCAAAAATTAATTAATTAATTAATAAACTCCGACCCCCAACGTCTTCTTTAAAACAAACAAAAAAAAATCAACTCTGCCTTCCTTATAAATTCACCTTTGGATTTGTAAGAGTAGGAAAAGATAAAGGAACATAGTAGAGGAAGGTGAAGATGGAATGTTGTTCCAAAGATACCATGTATCCCCTCAGAAGTGGTGGCATGGAAGCAGACAAATGAGGAACCAGAGTCCTTGTTTCCTTCTTTTTCAGACACTTAGTTGTTTATTTTTTTAAGTGTAGCTATTTGCATTAGTATTTTGATACAACATGCAAGAAACAACTACTATAATTTATCAATTTTCATTTATATTTAAAAATATACAAGTTATGTAATGATAGCTGTGCCTTTTTTTTTTTTTTTTTTTTTTTTTTTGCGGTACGAGAGCCCCTCACTGTTGCGGCCTCTACCGCCGCGGAGCACAGGCTCCGGACATGCAGGCCCAGCGGCCATGGCTCACGGGCCCAGCCGCTCCGCAGCATGTGGGATCCTCCCGGACCGGGGCACGAACCCGCGTCCCCTGCATCGGCAGGCGGACTCCCAACCACTGCACCACCAGGGAAGCCCATGCCTATTATTTTTAAATGCATTTGCCACAAATAATGTACATGGAATTAAAAAAATTCACTGAAAATAATCTTACAGATATTCCTTCTTTAGCTCTAAGCCCAAGTAAAACAGTGCATGAGCTTCACCTCCCAAAGCGGTTTGAACTGTTAACTGTAATTTGATTGCTTTACCTTGAACTGTTTAGGACACAGATTTTCTGCATTAAAGTAGAATAAAAGTGGACAGTTTTCTTATTAAAGTAAAAAAATATCTCTAAGAAACATCTAAAGTTAGGATGCTATTCTAATATTTTTCCAACTATGTACCATCCGGGGTATATGTGTGTTACCTAAAAAATATTTTTGTAGAGAACTCTTGAGTTTAAAAGTTAATAGCTACTTTGGAGGTTCACATTTTTAAAATAAACAGAAATTCAAATAGAATTTAAAATTGCAAAAGTGATAATAATTTTGTATTATATACACTGTATGGTAATTTTGTAATTTAAAAAATTAAAGATATTTGCTGCCAACCAAAATTAATCTCAAATGTAATTTAATGTGTTCATTTTGTTTTTTCTTTGTAAGTTTATTGTCTGTTCAGTAAAATTATTTTCACATGTGTAATTCATATAAAGTAGAAAGATCATTACTTAATATGATGTTCTCTTTTAAATCTAGTTTTATTGTCCATATGTTCTCTGCTTTGTGACCCTAATCCAGATGACCCCTTAGTACCAGATATTGCACAAATCTATAAATCAGACAAAGAAAAGTAAGTGTTTGCTTATATTAGTTTCTATTTGGGTGCATTTCTATGTAGTCTGCCAAAACATAAGTATTATCAATGTATTGAAGTACATTTAGTTATGCTTATTGTGTTTATGTTAAGTTTGTTTATCCAGTGGAGTAAACCTTTCTTTTTAAATTCTATTAATTTAAAAATTAAATTAAATTTATTTTAAATTCTATTAATTTTAAATTCTATTAATTCCTTTTACAAAAAAATCTCATCCCTTCCCACTTGTTGTTTCATCCTTTACTATTTAATAGTACTTGTTCTGCATTTACATAGTATGCATGTTTTTTGATAGTAACTATCAAACTATCTATAATTCTAAGCAGTAAATTTACAATTTAAAAAGTTGATAATTGGAAATTACTGAATATCATATTCCTTACCTTCTCCCAGGAAAAGTTATCCTTAACTACCCCTAAACTGACCTAATTTTCAAGGTGCTACATCTTGCTGGCACCATTGATTCATTTGCATTTTACAGATAATGACCATTCAGGGTTGTCATTTACAGATTTGTATTAGAAATTGATTTCTTTATTTCGTTGTGTATAACTTAGGTACGTTTTCATATAGGTTGTAAAGAGATCCATTAGTTTAAAAAATCGCTCATGTTTTCTGTTTTATTTATGCATGAACCTAAGTCACATTGACCCAATAATTGGTGTATGTATGATTATTGCAGTTAAGCATAAAAAAGGTATACAGTTTTACATAGACAGATCTTCTAAAAGATTTAATTTGTATGTTTTTACTATATCCCTTTTGTATGTCTACAGATACAACAGACACGCAAGAGAATGGACTCAGAAATATGCAATGTAAAATCAAAAAAATTTTCATATATACCAGAGTACTGTAAAATCTAGGTTTTTTTCAACATTAGCAGTAAATCGAGCACCGTTTACTGTTTCATTGTACCATGAAATCCTTTGATTTTTACCCATTTTAAATGTATTTCTGAAGCAAGACAAAACAAACTTCCAAAAATATTCTTGAGACTGTGATGAGAGCATTTATCATTTTGTATGCATTGAGAAAGACATTTATTATGGTTTTTAAGATACTTGGACATCTGCATCTTCAGCTTACAAGATCTACAATGCATCTGAAAAGCAACCAAATTATTTTTTGCTGAAACTAGATGTTTTTACATGAAGAATACTGTATGTGTTGTCTAAGATGTCGTCAGTTATATAAATCTGTATTCAGATTTCATTCTTCGTTAGCTCACTTTATAATTTGTATTTTTTTACTGTATAGACTAAATATATTCTATTTACATGTATGTCAACTCGTTACTTTTTTCCTGTGAACAGTATTGAAAAAACCCAACAGCTGATAATGAAATGAATTAACTGTCCGTCTCCCTTGTCTTAGGGTATTCTGTAGATTGATTGCAGATTCCTTAAACCTGAAATGATCTTTACACTGTAATTCTCAGTATACTGATTATGGAGAAACACTTGTTTTGATTTTGTTATACTTGACTTAACTTTATTACAATGTGAATTAATTGCACTGCTAAGTAGGAAGACGTGTAACTTTTATTTGTTGCTATTCACATCAGAATTTTTTTCTGTATAGGCAATATTATATTGACACCTTTTACAGATCTTAATGTAGCTTTTTCCATTTAAATAAAATGCTTTTTCTACTATTTGTCTTGATTACTTAAAAAGATAAAAAATTACTTTATAAGTAAGGATCAATACTCTATATAAAATTTTGCATGGAAATTAATTCCAAATTGTAAGAATGAAGTCTGTTGTACTTGGCACTAATCACCATTAATTATATAAATTTTATTGCTTTAGGTTTGTATAGATATCTGTTTACTAAATTGTCAATCTAGAGGATGATATACACTGGTCCCTTGTTATTGAAAAGAATTTAGGATATGTTGGCATTTGTCTTGGATCACATCTAAAATGAATTATTTTCTAAGGTACTGAGATGAATGTAAGACAGTGTCACCTACATTGAAGAAAAGTCTTTATAGACCTGAAGAATAATTAGGTTAATTCATTAAAATGCCCCTCTAGATATAACTGACGTTGTATTTCTTAACACTTTAAAATCTAGAATTTCTAAAATAGAATTTTAATGCCATCACAGTTTGAAAGAGGACATCCATTTTTTACCGTAGAAGTTATACAGAAAATTCTAAAATGACACTTTCCCTCTGTTTTATAAATTGTCAGTTAAAATGATTTAAATGAGCAGGTTATCTTTGCAGATTTTAAAGAAAGCTAGAAAGTTCTAATGTTTTAACTTGGAAAAAAAATGTCTCTAATTATTAGCATGCTTACCAAACTTGAGTGTCATTTTTAAGAAGAGTTGTAGCTCTTCTGATTATTTCAGTAGCTGTATAAGTGTACAAAAATCTGTGATGGGTGTAGTCATTAGCAAACAATGTAAATCACTTAAGTATTTTACCATGGTTCATTATTATAAAGCACAAAATAACCCATTGTTAAAAAATGTGTTTTTATAAATGAATGTAAAATAAATGAATTGTGAAATGGATGTTTAAGAAAATATAGGTTTAAAAAGTAACTATATTAAGTGATGTCTTGAAACAGCCATATCATGAAGAATACTACTATGTTATTATAAGCTACATTGGCCCAGAATTTGAACACTCAACATCATTAGATTTAAGTATTTAGTATATTTTGATAATAAAGGGTTTTGTTTCTTGAATATCTTTCACTTTTTAAAAAACTTTTGTGTGGCATTTATTTTTGGAAATGTCTTTTTTTTTTCTGTATTAAAGTTTTGAAACTTGCCTAACACTCTAACTCTGTTTGCCTTTGCTTACATCTGAATTGTACAACCACTCTCTTGAGGAGTGAGCACAAGTTCTCATAATTAATTTAAAAATCTTAGAAGTTCAGCAATGGCATAATGATCAGCCAGATCAGTATTTTGGGTTTGTTGTTTTGTTTAATTCCAACAAAGGGTACATCAGTTACCTAACTGTAAATCCGAAGCCAAGGACCTTCCTCCATAGATCAACCATTAATTTAAGGACCTCCTGGGAGTGAGGAAAATGGAAAGTCTTTTGGAGTTTTACGATCCTACCTCTTGTAGTCTTGGATTCTGAACACTTGTAACTGCCACATACAATAAATCCATGATACAGGCTGTAAGGGGTAACCTCACGCTCATCCCCCCAACTATCTCTAATTCCTGAACAAGCTTTACACATGCATATGTAAATCATATACAATTATTCATTTTTGCTTTACGTTATACCCCCACCCCTCCATGAACTCTGTTAGGGAAAATTTTAAATTTACTTTGTCAGTTAAGCAATTTCAAAGGATCAAAAGGTATTAGGTGAGAAACACAAACACAAAGCACCAGGGCAACCCTAAGAGTTAATATTCAGAGTAACTTTTGGGGCTTCCCTGGTGGTGCAGTGGTTAAGAATCCACCTGCCAATGCAGGGGACACGGGTTCAAGCCCTGGTCCGGGAAGATCCCACATGCCGTGGAGCAACTAAGCCCGTGCACCACAACTACTGAGCCTGCGCTCTAGAGCCTGCAAGCCACAACTACTGAGCCCACGTGCTACAACTACTGAAGCCCGCGCGCCTAGAGCCCATGCTTCGCAACAAGAGAAGCCACCGCAATGAGAAGCCCGCGCACCGCAATGAAGAGTAGCCCCTGCTCGCTGCAACTAGGGAAAGTCCATGCGCAGCAACGAAGACCCAATGCAGCCCAAAATAAAAAGAGTAATTTTTTTTAAAACTTAATGAAAACAATACCACATGTAGTTTTTCATTTCTCATTATTTTATCACAATGATATGTTTATCTTCTTTGTACATGATTCCAGTCATTGATGTTTCACAGAATCCTGCTCTCTCAGTTCTGTATTTTTAAGGTGGAAAGATTGGGGAAATGAATTTTCCTCTCGGATTAAGAGAGATTCTTGGTGAAGCTATTTATATCCTGTCTCTTTGTTGGTAGTCATTTTGAACTGGATTCAGAGTCCAGTCCTATGTTTTAAAATTTGAGTTCTGTAGTAGAATCATTGGTCCTGTTACTCATTTTTATTAGGACTAGCCATGGAAAATGTGATTAATACTCTAGCCACGGCCATATAGCTTCAGTGTATTCAAATTGTTGACTTTGGTCTGTTAAGATACAGCACTTATCTTTTTAGTTTGTTTAAATCTTTTGTGGTTATTAATATAATAAAATAACAAACATGAATTTTAAAAGTTTACTTCTAGCACTCTATCAATGTAAACTATGCCAAAAATTTTCTTTAAAGCAGAAGTTTAATTGCAGTTTAATAGCCCTAAAATGTAATGCATATTATTTGTGAAAGTTCTAATTTTTTACAGTGCTTCTCTTTGCCTGTTCTGACAGTTGTGTTTTACAAACAGGGCAGCAGGTAGAGATTCATCTAATTTCACTTGTAAAAATTCATCTGTATAGATAACTAGTCATTTCTAAAAAAAATTTTTTTTTTTGTACTGACATCTGCAAACTCCTAAACTGTATATTGATACACTTTGACCAGGAGTTTTTTCAGTAGTAGTGATAACTGAAAATTTGTAGACAGCTGACATTTTGGGTAATAGAAATAATTTGTAACACAATAGTGTTTTATCACTTATTTGTATCATGTTACATTTAAATTTCTGCTCTCATTATCCTGTTATATATGTTAGAATGTGGTTTTAAATTGTAAATGAACTGAACTAATAGGAAGAGGGAATATTCACCTAAAAGTTCTAGCACTTGGAGGCATTTTTATAAGATACATTTTTTTAAAAAACTTAGCGCTCTCTTAGGTTCTACTGTTGTAGAGGGAGGAATGTGCCTTTCTTACCCCAGGAGGAAGTTGCTTTTATTATGATGGCACATGTTCTGAGCTATGCTTCCTCATATCATTTGCTTGCTTTTGTTAAAATCTTTTTAGTGCAAAAGATCACTGAGTTGCATGTAAGATTTTATTGTAAACTTAATATACATATTGTGGGGAACAGTTGTGACACCACTTGTGTAAGCACTCCTGATACACCCGTTTAGGTGGTCCAGTGACCACCCACACATTCAGTGTGTCAATAGAAGTCACCAGACTAAGCATATGTTCACACTCACAGCTAAGATTTATTATAGCGACACAGCAAAGATATACAGCTCCCTCAGTAAGGGGAAAAGACAGATCATGAAGGAAACCATGAAGCTTTCTCTGAAGGGGCCACACAGAGCTCACTCTCCCTCCAACAGTGAAATGCAGTAACACAGGCACAGTGTTTCTGCCCAGGGAAGCCTGTTTGAAATGCAAAGTTCAGGGGTTTTAATAGGGGCTAAACCATGTAGGCACCCTTTGCCCACCAAAACTCCAGGCTCCCAGAAGGTAAGCAGGTGTTCACTGAAATCACATTGTTTATTTAAAAAGTCTAGTCAGGCTAGCATAGCAGATAGAACCTTATATCACATAGGGAAAGTTTTAAAAGCCGTATTCCTTGATGCCAGCTGAAGGCCAACCTGGTAAGCCCTTCTAAAAATCAGGCCTGCACTATTCGTTGAAAAGACTGTTCTTTCCCCTTGAAAAGGTCTCTGTACCCTTGTCGAAAATCAACTGACCCTAGAGGTTTTTTATGGTCTCTGAATTCTGTTCTAATGACCTGTATGCCTTATGCTAACACCACACTACATTGATGACTGTAGCTGCATAGTAACTTTCGAAATCAAGAAGTGTGGATTTTCCAACTTTGTTCTTTTACAATATTGTTCTGACTATTCACATCCCTCGTGATTCAAAACGCATTTTAGGATCAGCTTTTCCATTTCTTCTGAGATGGACCAGATGGGGGGACCATGGGTGATGTGTCCCCAGCAGCTCTGGTTTCTTGATGGAGTCCACAACATAGTGTGAGCCGTGTCCCATTAATGCCCTTCAAGAATTCTATCCCAGCCTCTTCCCACTCCCCAGTCCTGAAGTTCATGATTCAGTATTATGGATGCGCTGAGAGAGAAATGAGCTCCTTTCTGTGTTCCCCACAGTTGCGGAGGCCAGGTGGTCACTCACACACTCTCACTTGCCCTTGTTAGAGATATCACAGGCTCAGAGGATCTCTTTTGGCCCTAAGCTGTGCTGTCTTTGGGAGAGGGTTGATGCAGTAAAGTCAAACTATTTCTTTTACCTTCTCCGATGTATCCAAACTTGTATTTTTTTTTTTTTTTTTGCTTCAACATTGTCCAGGAAGTTCGCTGCTGGAAACCTGGACTTCCACAATGGCTCTTTCATCCATAAGTGATTGTCTAAGACAGTGTTTTGCAGGAGTTCCCGGGCTGTGGCTATGAGGGGCTGGAGCCAGTTCATGGGCCACTGCAGGGTCCACAGCCAGGACCAGGACCACGTTCTGTATGTGTTACCCAACGCACAGGTGGGCAAGATTCCTCCCAGATCCCTTGGCAGAGATGCTCACAGCTCTCACAAAGGCACTTCTGTCCATGGATAGATGCCAAATTTTTGTTGGGGGTAGGGCACAAGCAAGGGTCAACTTATTCAGCCATAGTGCTGACATCACTTTACCCCAGTGTGGAGTGTCCTCACCCTTTATAAGTGCCCTTACCATGCTGTATTATCAGTATCACTAACCATGAGATCCTTAGTGTTTATTATTTTTGACTCCCTGGGACCTAGTACAGTATCTGGTCCACAAGAGCTCAAATATTTATTGAATAAATAAATGAATGAACTGGGCCTCAGATGATACTTAGGATTTTAAATGGCATATTTAAGTGGGGAAGTAAGAGAAACCAAAGATAATAAAGTAAAAATCATTCAAGTAAGAGAAACCAAAGATAATAAAGTAAAAATAAGTGAAAATGGCCTTGGTCTATGTGCAATTGAGAGAAAAGATTAGGTGGAGAAGGCAGATTAATTAGATGTGAAAACTTGATTTGATGGCCTGTAAGAAATCAGTGTTTTTTTTAAAAATTCTATTTTATTATTTTATACAGCAGGTTCTTATTAGTTATCTATTTTATAAATATTAGTGTATGTGTGTCAATCCCAATCTCCCAATTCATCACACCACCAGCCCCCGCCACTTTCCCCCCTTGGTGTCCATACGTTTGTTCTCTACATCTGTGTCTCTATTTCTGCCCTGCAAACCGGTTCATCTGTACCATTTTTCTAGGTTCCAGATCAGTGTAAGTTTTTAATCAACAAAATGATGTAATAAAAGCATGCGTTTGGGGCTATTTATTTAGCAGAGTGTAGAATTGGAATTGGAATAATTTCTCATACTAGAATCCTCGGAATCATTATTGGCTTCCACCTGTGAATGAAATCCTGCTGATTGTACTAGAAATGCCTTTGGCATATGAGCCATGGCAGAATCTTAGTTCAGAATCTCAACCTCTTTCCTGAATCATAGCAATAACCTCCTAATTTACCTCCTTCTTTACAGTCTCCTCACTTCCATCACTCTCAGTGCTCCTACCAAAGAGGTTTTTCTAAAAATGAGTTTAAGCTGCCTAAAAAGTTATTTGTCCATCTTTTGCTAACAAACTCCTTAGCATATTACACACAGCCCTTCACAACCTAATGCCACCCAACTTCTTTAGACTTGTCTCATACTACTCCTTTTCACATATATTTTGTCTTCTTAAGGACACCATGCCCTCATGCATATCTGTGACTTGCACATACTGTTTCCCTTTTCTGGAAAGCACCTCCACCCTTCCTCACTTGAAAAAAACAGTTCAAATGTCACCTACTCTATGAAACCATTCCCTACTCTCCCAGCAGATTTAAACAGA